GTTAGAATTAAGATAAACATTATTACTTTAAACAAACGACTGGAAAATTCATTTTTCTGTTGTTTGATTGGATATTCCTATTAATATGTGAGACCCAATTTGATCAGTTAGTTATTGACCTATATCTATCTTATGCAGATTGCCTCGATATTGCTGTTATAACTTGTGACCGCCGATTAGAGGGCAGTGAATTATCGATCGGACCAAGGGGGCGTAAAACACGTGCGAGCAGCCTAGAGTCCTGATTGATCCTGTTTTCCGCCTAGACCAGCCAGTTAATTGCAGAACACCAATCCGAGCCTCTGTAATATGAATTGTTATATTTCAAACATACTGAGTTTATATACCAATCAAACAGACCACAACATACCAATAAAATATGAAACAACATTTCAGCAGTTTAAAAATCCCAATAGGCTATTCAAAAATGAAGAATATTTGAGCAAACAATTGTTTTCAATAAATTCATCATCAGGCTCTATAGTTATAAGTCCATAATTATGATATTTTACCGAGTCCTGATAGCCGCTTACTTGTGCAATGGGATGAAGTTTAAATTCACTTAGTATTGTTTGCTAGACTCTTCCGATTGATGTTTAAGATTACAAATGATCAGTCTCGTATTGGCATATGTGAATCCTGTACGTATTGCCTCGATAATGCATTAATTTATAAGCATTATAAGCAAAGATGGATAACGGTTAGCAGCGGAATCCAGGACGCACGTTTCGTTCTATTTGACACTCGTCAGCTGGATATAACTACATCTCAGAGTTAATGTTCACTCCAAGGTAACAATAATAATAATAAATTCTTGTATAAATTAAATCTTAATTATTTATTCTAAATTAACATTTTTCAATCGAAATTTATGCTTTCATAAGTGATAACTTATATTATCGAATTCAACTATAGTACTTCTTAGTAATTTTTTACTCTATGTATACAAATTTGATTGAATGTTCATTGTTTAACTTATCACATTTTGCTAAACTGATAGGCATAATAACCAACTATAATTATGTGTACATTATATCCCGTTTTATACATACATATAGATAGATAGTTATATATATATATATATATATATATATATATATAGATATATATATATATATATATCTATCTATATATATATATATATATATATATAAAAGGAAGAAGACAGTAATATTGATGTGAAAATGGTTTAATCACTTTACATACACTTAACATAAAGTAATGTTTACATAATTTACCAGTAGGATACAATCGAATATTAGCTGATGACCCTATTAGTAAACATAATATAACAGTGTAACTAACCATCAATAAATAATAGAATCTTCTATACTTATTTCAATGAATTTTCTTTATAATATTTAACATGTAAGTATGTATGTTTATAAATTGTATCAGTGCATTCAACTAAACTAATCATAGTACATTTTTATTTTATCTCGAATCAATATTCAATATAGTAAGACTGAAACGAACTTATACAAAAAAAAGGAAAGAAAAAAGAGAAAGAAGCGAAGCACAAAATATATTAATCTTTAAATTCACTTGGTATTGTTTGGCTTGTATCTTCCCATTGAGGTTTAAGACTGAAATCGATCAGTCTATTATTGGCATATGTGTATACTGTGCGTATGCCTCAATATTGCTTTAATTCACAAGCTTTTTGTAAGCAATGATGGATAGTGGCTAACAGTGGAATCCAGGACCTGAAGATACAAGCAAAACAATACCAAGTGAATTTAAATTCACCCAATTTGCACAAGCAAGTGGCTATCAGGACTCAGTTGATGAGTGGATAACGTGATGGCCTTTGAAGCAAATGGTACTGGGTTCGAGTCGCAGAGTGAACATCAACTCTGAGATGCAGTTACATCCAGCTGACGAGTCCCAAATAGGACGAAACGCGTTTCCCGGATTCCACTGCTATCCACTATCCATCATTGCTTACAAAATATATTGATGTTTGTTTAACTGTTAAGAAAAATATCATTGACTATGAAGTATAAACGTTATATGCATCTCTTTTTTCTTCTTTATTATATTCGATTAATTGTTACTATAAAATATCTCTATGTATACTAGCTTATACAAATATAAGAATGAGAATACGTGAAACGAGATTTATCTCCTCTCTAAACTATATGCTTATTATCATAATACATTCACTTAGTTTGAAAAACATAACCAGAATATTTTATGAGTAGATATCAATAATTGGATGACGGCTTAGTGGTCTAGAGGTTAAGAGTTTGCGTGAGAGACTAATAGGTCCTGGGTTCGAATTTCGCGAGGTGGAATCGTGGATGCCCACTATTGAGGAATCCCATACTAAGACGAAACAACCGTCCAGTGCTTCAAGGTTTTTTCATAGTGGTCTGGCTTCGATTGACTCATAAATTCAACTAATAAATTACTATAATATCCACAAAACCCCTTTATGATTATAATATTGATTACTTTAAAATACTCGAAAATCAGCACTTTTTTCTCCTAAAGATCAGTTGTTAATTCATTCATTTCATTATATATAAACATTTAGGGAGAAAAATGTTAAAAAGGTTTATGAAAAGTAGACTTGGTAACAAAAATAACTAATAAATATTATCATCTCACAGTGGGAAATCTTCACAGGTAGACTAAATGAAGTTACTTTGATTTATACTGTCTACAATTAACTCACCTACTGTGCGAATCAAAATATATACTAATACTACTATTACTACTAGTAATAATAATAATAATGATTATAATATAATATATTCAATATGTTTAATAGTTAAATGGGGATTAATATGAACCTGGAAATAAAGGAGAAATAGGATCAACAAAAATAGCCATGAATATTCAAAATCTGTAGAGTTCGTCTAGTTACAAGTCATGGAATACTATACTTCATAATAATTAGCTATAAATATAGCTATTCAGATGAAATAATCCATCTTCACGATACACAGTGAAACTAATTATATCATGTTATTTAAGTAGTGACAGATTAGTTAAGTTCATATGTTTTATTATAGGTAGTTAAATTCGACTAATGATAACAGTAATACAAATATTCATTTATTATCAGAAAGGGTTTTTTTGGGGGATATTATAATAATTTAATCGTTGAGCTAATGAGTCAGTTGAAGCTAGACCAACATGGAAAACCTGGAAGCATTAGACAGCTGTTTCGTCCTAGTGCGGGACTCCTTAGCAGTGCATATTCACGATCCCACCTCTCGGGATCCGAACACAGGATCTATAGCTCTTATCCTCTAGACCATTGAGCCCGCATCCAGTGGTGTTGATGTCTAACTTCAACCAATCCATGAAATTGAGCCACCGTCCACCAATGTGTTCAGTGAGTTACTATCTCGTAACAGACACGGTTAAACTCCCTGATCACTGTTTCTCGCTAGAACTTCAGGAAATACCTCCTGAAGCCAGTCACTGGTGAACACATCATGATTATTATCAGAAAGGGATTGCTTGTGGATATTTTAGTAATTTAATGGTTGGGAGTAATGTTGTCAGCCTAAGTAAACTGAGTAGAATATTTCGTTTGTATCAATAAGTAGAATAAATTATTGCAGATAATGTAATATGAGAATGAAAATCATCAGTATTTAAAATTACCAATTAGGTTGTTTTAATTTGAAAAGTTATTGTACTTCTTAGAAACAACGAGCATATACCAAAAATGGTATCCTGATTATAACTGTTTCGAGTTATTTTTTCATTCAAATTGTCTTTTCTAATGCATACTATAATATTACAAGTAATATGTGCAAAGATGGAAAGTGGCTAGTAGTGGAATCTAAAACGCATGTTTCGTCCTATTTGACACTCGTCATCTGGATGTAACTGCACCTCAGAGTTGATGTTTACTTTGGGACTTGAACTCAGTACCGTTCTCTTCCAACATTTTTGTCTTATCCACTTAGCTACTAAGTCCTGATGGCCACCTGCTTGTGCATTGAGGTAAAGTTCAAATTCACTTAGTATTGTTCACTTGAATCTTCCCATTGATGTATGCACATATACCAATAAGAGACTGATCAATTACAGTCCTAAACATCAATGAGAAGATTCAAACAAACAATACCAAAAAAAACGCTTACCAAAAAAACAATCCAAACCATTTTAACTCTGCCCTGGGAGTTAGAACGTCTTCATTTAGAAGAATTATGACGCTTCATGGTGAAAGCTGAGTTCCTTCGGAAGCCACGAGGCCGATGCACCTTCTAACAACCAGAAAAACAATTTTTATAGGTACATGGAACGTTCGAACAATGTGGGAAACCGGGAAGACCAGTCAAATATCAATGGAAATGAGGAGATATAACTTAGCAGTACTGGGAATCAGCGAAACCCACTGGACCCAAGCTGGACAGAAAAGGCTAGCTACGGGAGAGATGCTGCTATACTCCGGTCACGAAGAGGACAATGCTCCACACACTCAGGGAGTCGCTCTTATGCTGTTCAAAGTAGCACGAAATGCACTTGTAGGATGGGAATCTCACGGATCCAGAATCATCAAAGCATCATTCAAAACAAAGAAGGAGGGGATCACAATGAATATTATCCAATGTTATGCACCCACCAATGATAGCAACGACGAAATTAAAGATCAGTTCTACGAGCGGCTGCAGTCAATCATTGAGAAATGCCCAAGAAAGGACCTAACTATTCTGATGGGAGATCTAAATGCCAAAGTCGGAATAGACAACACTGGATATGAAGATATTATGGGACGACATGGACTGGGAGAAAGAAACGAAAATGGAGAAAGATTTGCAAATCTATGTGCATTCAACAAATTGGTCATAAGAGGCACAATATTTCCACACAAGCGTATACACAAGGCTACATGGATCTCACCGGACCACACTACAGAGAACCAAATAGATCATATTTGCATCAACAAAAAATTCCGAAGGACAATGGAAGATGTGAGAACCAGGAGAGGTGCTGACTTAGCTTCAGATCACCACCTAGTTGTAGCCAATTTGAAACTGAAGCTAAAAAAGAACTGGACAAGTGGACAAACAGCAATACAAAGGTTCAATACAGCCTTCCTTCGAGATACTGACAAACTCAATGAATTCAAGATAGCTCTCAACAACAGGTTCCAAGCCTTACAAGATCTACTGAAAGAAGAAGAAACTACTATGGGGGACAACTGGAAAGGCATCAAGGAAGCATTAACTTCAACGTGTCGAGAGGTTCTCGGTCTAAAGAAATACCACCATAAGGAATGGATCTCTACAGAAACACTGGGCAAGATCAAAGAAAGGAAGAACAAGAAGGCAGCAATTAACAACAGCCAAACACGAGCAGAGAAAGTTCAAGCACAAGCTGAATACATAGAAGCAAACAAACAAGTGAAGAGGGGCATTAGAGCCGACAAGAAGAAATACGTGGAAGAACTAGCAACGACGGCAGAAAAAGCTGCTAGAGAAGGAAATATGAAACAGCTTTACGATACAACGAAGAAACTAGCAGGGAATTACAGTAAACCAGAGAGGCCGGTCAAAGACAAAGAAGGCAAGCCAATCACCGAAATTCAACAACAGCGTAACAGATGGGTAGAATACTTCGAGGAACTCCTGAATAGGCCGGCTCCAATGAATCCACCGGACATCGAAGCAGCGCACACAGATCTTCCTATAGATGTCAATCCATCAACTACGGAGGAAATTAGAATGGCCGTCAGACAAATCAAGAACGGGAAAGCAGCAGGACCCGACAACATACCAGCTGAAGCACTGAAATCAGACATCGAAGCAACCACAAGCATGCTTTACCTTCTATTCAAAAAGATTTGGGAGGAGGAACAAGTGCCGATGGACTGGAAAGAAGGACACCTCGTCAAGATTCCAAAGAAAGGAGATCTGAGCAAATGTGAAAACTACAGAGGCATAACACTACTGTCAATACCAGGGAAAGTCTTCAACCAAGTGTTGCTGAACCGGATGAAGGATGCAGTAGACGCCCAACTTCGAGATCAACAAGCTGGATTCCGTAAGGATCGGTCGTGCACAGACCAAATCGCAACACTACGGATCATCGTCAAACAATCAGTTGAGTGGAACTCATCACTATACATCAACTTCATTGATTATGAAAAGGCATTCGACAGTGTAGATAGGAGGACATTATGGAAACTTCTTCGACACTACGGAGTTCCTGAGAAGATTGTCAACATTATCCGGAACTCATACGACGGACTACAGTGCAAAGTAGTGCATGGAGGACAGCTGACAGATGCATTCGAAGTAAGAACCGGAGTCAGACAAGGCTGTTTACTCTCTCCCTTCCTCTTTCTTCTGGTGGTCGACTGGACTATGAAGACCTCAACATCTGAAGGAAAACACGGAATACAATGGACAGCTCAGAATCAATTAGACGATTTGGACTTCGCAGATGACCTAGCCCTCCTATCACGTACACACGAACAGATGCAAATGAAGACAGCCAGTGTAGCAGCAGTCTCTGCATCAGTAGGCCTCAGCATACACAAAGGGAAAACTAAGGTCCTCAAATTCAAAGCGGAGAACAGCCATCCAATCACACTTGATGGCGAAACTCTGGAAGGTGTAGAGTCCTTCATATACCTGGGAAGCATCATCGATTAACAAGGAGGATCCGATGCAGACGTAAAGGCGAGGATTGGCAAAGCAAGGGTCGCATTCCTACAATTGAAGAACATATGGAACTCAAAACAACTTTCAACCAATATCAAAGTGAGAATCTTCAATACGAACGTCAAGACAGTTTTACTGTATGGAGCTGAAACTTGGAGAACTACAACAACCACAATCAAGAAAGTACAAGTATTTATAAATGGTTGTCTAATCAAGATACTCAACATCCGTTGGCCGGATACCATCAGCAATAGCCTTCTGTGGGAGAGAACGAACCAACTTCCAGCTGAAGAAGAAATTAGGAAAAGACGATGGAAATGGATAGGACATACATTACACAAATCACCAAACTGCATCACGAGGCAAGCCCTAACTTATAATCCTGAAGGGAAGCGGAAAAGAGGAAAGCCAAAGAACACATTGCGTCGGATAATAGAAGCAGATATGAAAAAGATGAATAACAACTGGGAGGAGCTAGAAAGGATTGCTCAGGACAGGGTTGGATGGAGAATGCTGGTGAGCGGCCTATGCTCCTTCACGAGGAGTAACAGGCGTAAGTAAGTAAGTAAGTAAGTAAGTAAGTAACCAAATGATTTTAATGATTCAAATTAGATTTCTTATAGACTATTGATCAATGCATGACGAATTATTTTTTTTTCTTTGACATTTAAACATTTTTTCACAATAATTCCTTTTGAAGAGATCTAAAACTATACATATAAGGATTGTTTATTATTATCATAAATTAGGATCCAGTAATGCAATTGAAAACAATAATACAACTGAATGGTTAACATCCAATCTTAGTCTAACTTTAGACTATATGACTTTATAACATAAACTAACTTATCTATAAATTCGAAAGTGTTATGAAACAATATTAAATGACTAATTTCGACATGACATTTATCAGTTTGACTATACATTAGTTAACAACTAATGCCTACGCTAGAATTTCATGTATTCTTTTCATTTATTTCAATTTTAAGCATAAATGAAATTATAGATAATAAGAAACTGTATATTTGTTATACAATTGATTAATAGTAATTCAATTGGTGTTGTTCTACTTGTATCGTTCTATCTTTGCTTGAAAAAAGCTTGTAACTTAAGGCTATATCGAGGTAATCCGCATAGGATGCACATATGCCACTAAGAGATTGATCAATTGCAGTCTTAAATAACAATGCGAAGATACAAGTAAAACAACAACAAGTGAATTTAAACTTCACACCATTGTATAAGCTCGTGTTTATCAGGACTTAGTAGCTAAGTGGATAGCGCAATGGCATTTGAAGAGAACGGTACTGGATTCCAGTCCCGGAGTGAATGTTAACTCTGAGATGCAGGTATATTCAGCTGACGAGTATCAAATAGGACGAAACGTGCGTCCTAGATTCCACTGCTAACCACTATCCATCTTTCATTAATAGTAATGTTTTGTCCCATTAGTCGCTCATCAGATATATATCTGTGCACATTCTCGTATAGATGTTTACATTGAAATTAAAATCTACTATTCGCAATGACATATATAAATCTGGTAATAACTAAGTAGCTGGAATACAATAGTTATCGATTTGTCGAATGGATGTAGTAGGTGTTACAATTTTTAAGGATGTATCTTCAACGTCGGGGAATTCAGTTAAAAAAAAGATTGGTTAAATTCAAATTTTATCATCAAGATCGAGTAAATATAAACTTTTACAAATAATATAGTAACCTAGGACCAAGCCCCTTCTTTAGAGGGAAATATAAACGCATTCATAAATTTTGTATGTTTATTAACTTTGACCATAAGCAACTTATGTATTACAATGCACGTTTAAATAAACCAAGGAATGATTTCCCATCGTTGTTTCAGTGCTTCACAAAATTTTTTATATACTAAATGTCAGTCGTTATAGTATTTATGAATTAATCCCTAAATTCGAAGTTAATTTACCTTTTATCCCATGCACATAAGCAAACGTAGATCGAGACAACCAGTATAACAGAAGCCTCTACATCACTAGGTTTCAGCATACACGAGGAAAAGACCAAGATCTTCAAGTACAATGCGGCGAACATCAACCCTGTCACACATGATGGAAAAACTCTAGAAGAGGTGGAAAGATTTACGTATCCGGGTAGCATCATCGATGAACGTCGAGGTACTAATGCAAATGTAAGAGCAAGTGTTGGCAAAACAGTGGTAGTATTCCTACAGTTGAAAAACATCTCGTACTCAAAACAACTATCAACCAATATGAAAATCAGAATTTTCGAGACGAACGTCGAAATAGTTCTACTGTACGGAGCTGAAACGTGAAGAACTACTACAACCATCATCAAGAAGGTACAAGTATTTACAAATAGTTGTCTATGCACGATACTCAACACCCATTGACCGGAAACCATCGGCAACAGCCTTCTATGGAAGAGGACAAACCAGTTACCAGCTGAAGAGGAAATTAGGAAAAGACGATGGAAATGGATAGGACATACATTACTCAAATCATCAAACTGCATCCCGAAGCAAGCGCTAACTTGGAGCCCTGAAAAGAAACGGAAAGCTTGAAGGCCGAAGAACATAGTACGTCGGGAATTTGAGGAAGATATCAAAAGGATGAATAGCGACTGAAAAGGGTTGTCCAGGACAGAGTTGGATGGAAAATGTTGGTAGGCGGCATATGCTCCTCCACAACAAGTAACAGGCGTAAATAAGTAACTGAAATGAACTCCAGCGTTTGACAACTATTCTATCGTTGTCTGAAGCTCTTCGGTATGTCTCATATATATATCTTAAAACAAATCAAACCTTTCGAAGTACGTACTGTTCTTCGAAAACAGTTGTTACGTTGTTATAGTTGTCAATTAACAGTTTCACTAATTGAGGTGATATTCATTGATGGATTTTTATCAATTTCAATAACTTTCATTTAAATAAAACCATTATTTTTCACTAATATTCATTTTTAAAAAGGTTCAAGTAAATAATACCATATAACTAGTTGACAATAGATCAATTGAAATGATGACTGAAACTATTTATAACGAAAAGAAGTTGAACAATATTATTGTGATGTGGACAAAGAAACAAGAAGCCTTGATAAACTATGGCAGCTATTTTTCGGGACGTTATTTCATTTTGTCCCTAATCTATTCTACAGATCATAAACTTTCGTTTGATGGCATGATTCACTGCCATAACCTTTTCTGTTCCAAAGCTATTGTAATTTGAACGTAATCTTTTGTATTCTATTTTCTACGCTAATCTCCAGTTTTCGACATAATTGTATTTTCCTAATTGTTGTGTGTTGTGGTCTTATTGGTCATTTATTTACTCATTTATATTTTTATACCAATCGGAAATCAGGAACCAGACAGGAATTGGGAATAAATCGTGTGGTATTCCAGTTGACTTGTCTTCTCTCATTCGAGTACTTGTCAGCTAATCAGGTGATGGGATTAGTTTTCGTCTCTCTACCCCAAGCAGTTGGTCGTTCTTCGAATTCACGCCTACTAGCCTCAAGGTTAAGCCACTGAGTCTTAATCTAGATTAGACAAGTTATCCTCTGCACAAAAGTGGGTAGACAAATCAAGGACGTAACGTACTGATTCATGATAAGAAACGAGTACCTGTTTTCTGTTTTAAAACATATTGAATTTATCAATAGATGCATCGAATCAGGTCATTGTTCAAATATTAGTCTTTTAATATGACGGGGATCTTTAAACATATAGAAATATCAAATTTCTAATTGAACAAACTATCACTACATACTACTTTAAACGTTTATTTCAATAGTATCTCTATTTTTAATTATTTTCATTTAATTCCATTTCCCTATTATTTAGTTGAACAACATTTAGGAAATAATAATTCAAGATCAATAAATGAAAGAAATAACCAATTTAAAAAAGTCGTCCCATCAACATCTTATACTGATGCTCTTAATTTGGCTGTTGCTGCTAATACCGCATTACATGAAGCATTTAATCAGTCTATAAGTAAATTTTATTTATTTTAATTTATTGATTTTAATTAAAATCAAAGTAATTTGTCACAATATTCAATTTCACTGGCTAATCACATCTTACTTTTACTGAGCAACCATTAAAAAAACTTTTGATTGTGATCATGAACCGATTGATGTTAGACTACCATTGGGAACCTAGAAGCACTGGATGGCCGTTTCGTACTAGTGTGAGACTACTCAGCAGTGCGCATCCATGATTCAGCTAGCTCACGGGATTCCAACCCAGGGCCTTCAGGCTTGCGCGCGAACGCTTAACCTCTAGACCACTGAGTCGACATCCAACGGTGTTAATGTCTAACCTCAACCAATCCGCGAAATTGCGCTACCATCTTCCATTGTACTGAGGTAGATACCTGGAGTAGCTTTTATAATTATTGTCATTGATAATTTGTTTCTTTATTTTTTAGTGCTTAAAATGTTTTGTCGATTAAGTAAATGAATGTCTTCAGGGTATTACACTTAAGTGATTTTAAAATGATAGAGATTTTCAGCTCAAATGGTTGCCTTTGATGTTGTTGAATATTCTAATCTAGATGGTTTAATTGCAAAGCTTTCATCGTCTTTCTGGACTGTATTACTTATTCGTAAAAAGGTCAACCAGCAAGCTGCTCAGAGCTCAATTAGATAAGTTAGTCAACTTGAATACAGAACAAATGAAGATAATAAAACATATTAGAATAATCAACTATAAACAAAAGCTACAGGACAAACTTGTTTAAAGCTTGTAAAGAAAAATAAGAATATCACTTCCACATGAAGTAAGCTCTGATCGTGTAGTCCAGAATGACAATGAAAAGTCCATGATTAAATCATCTAGTTCAGTGAATTCAGCAAAACTAGAAGCTTTCAAGATTGTAACAAAAAGTACTCATGATAACTATTCAGTGGACTAATTTCCGATTTGAGTTTTAGTATTATTTAATAGAATTTCATTGTTTTGATCTTAATTCAAACCCTAGAACATAACTTTTGAATTTTGTCATTTAGGTGTAT